ATCTACAGGCCGTACGCTTTCAATTTAATAAATTAGTATATCCATCCGCGCAACTGATGTGAACCGCGTATACTTCATAAGCCAAATTAATAAACCGACAAGTACGATGCTGTTACAATAGACAATAGAGTGCAAACAATAGAATACAATACAATAGCAATTTCGCAATTACAAGCCATTTCATAACCGAAAACAACCACCTTTTCAAGTGTAACACCTGACGAAGACGTAGTTTACTGCAAAATAAGTATGAGAAATGGTGTTTGCGCATACTTTCTATAAAACATGTCTCGACTTAATGGATTATCAAAAATAAATTGGGGTACTAATACCGATTAAGTAGTCATTTTAGCGAGCAATACTGGCAGGCGACTGGGTGGCCATGCATTCAGAAGTCAGCATCTTGGCATAACTGAGATATCTTGGGATTATACTGCATAATAATCAGCACTACAACCCCATCTAAGAAATCCCTTCAAACAGAGATCATATTCCAGAATTTCAATTAATATTTTATGGGATACGCCACCTACTTTGTGCAAAGCACTGTGGCCGAACACGCACTAAACAGGGGGCTCACTTTTCGGCATTTGAATACTTGCGAAGGCGAACTACTTAACCACCTATATGCTTCAGACGACCCTTCTCTTCACCAGCCTGCAAACTCTTTCTTTCTTTTCCCGAGTGCCGGGGAAGCATTGAGCTCCAAAAACGGACTGAAGCAGGTACTCACATGTACTGGATACAGTTGCGACCGTGCCTGCTCTAGCCTGGTGTAATAACGTCGCGGACAGTGCCTCAACGTCAGTGGGTCCTGTGAGCAAGACCTGTCGCTGGCAGTGGTGGCTCTATCATGAATTTCCCAGATCAGAGTTTAGAGAAAAACGCCTCCAGGAAGTGCACAGGAGGCTCAGAGGAAACGACAGCAGTTGTTGTTGTCTCTGTGGGAGCTTTGCGCCAAGGGCAGCCGTTGTCTGCTCCTGTTCGGCCGGATTTGATTGTCGACAGGATTGTCGAAGGAGTTCTGGCGTTGTAGTACGCCATGTGTGTGCATGTTGGATGGGGTCCGCCCACTTAATGCAGGCGAGCTTGCGCCGGAAGGACGTGGCTCCCAGCCCATTACCACCGAGCGATCCCCCTCCTCAACCCCGGCGGCCGAATATCGCTGTCATAGTTGAATTGTCCCGTGCCAGGTTTTTAACTAACTGGGCAGCGCTGAATTTGGCGGTTGCATGTCGATAAAGGGCCAAACACCACCTTCATGTATGGCCTGTGGCCTACCCCTGATGTTATTACAGCAGGCGTGAATTATCTCACTGGAAACAAAGTGTCCGGTGAATGACCGAACCTTTGAAATGCGTTTATGATTAGGAAGGATTACTTATGTGGGGTTTTAATATTGAGTATCGTGCTACATAATCCTATAATATTTCGGACTCGCAAGAATGTTGGCTTTTTAACATACCTCTTTGCGACCTGCAGAAACCACACTTCATAAAAATGACCACCTAAGTAGTATATGTTTTCCACATTGATTTTCGATAGCCTTTCAAATCCACATATATTTTGCCGAAAACATGTACAAAAATATGCTTTCTCCAACTTATTCGGTAGCAGATCACGTCCTCATCATATTTTATACTCAATGAAAGAGCGTCTTAAGGTTTTAAAAAAGTTTCAAATTATGAGATTTTTAAGGCAGTGCAATTTCCACTCATCCAGCATCGCACCTGTCCGTTTATTAATACCCTTCAAAAATTATACAATATGGTCCGTATCTGTTGCGAAATTATATGAACGGTACATGGTATCATCTTAAAGACACAGAGGAATATATGATTTTTCCTATCTTGTGGGCTGGAATCGCTAGACGCCAATGCAACAGTTGATCTGGCTCCAAATTATTCGGAAATTAGAAAACTTGTTCAAAACCTAAGTATACCCTTTCTTGGAGTACAAAATTCGAAGACGTGGTTTGCTACTGAATGAGTTAAAAAGGCCTTTTTATGCATTTTTTTCTATAAAATGTATTTGAATCTACAAGACAATCCAAAATCAATATGGAGAACGCACACTACTTAAGTAGTAATTTTTTGCCGAGGCTTTTGCCGGAAATCGAGAAGTGCATCCCAAAACCAACATTCCGGCGATTTTGAAGTATGCTGTGTGATAATTAATATTACACGCCTACCTAAGTAAGTCTTCCTTATCAGAAACGCATTTCAGAATTTCGGCTATCATTTCACGAGATCGGTCACTGACTGTACTTTTCTCGACGGAGTACTCTCCGGCAATGGCCTGTCCTCCTTTGCAGTGTTGTAAGAGCGATATAACGTGCTCACAAACGTCCCTGAGGGTTCGCATTGCAACTGCAAGCCGGATCGCCACGTTTCGTAACCAGTATTGAGTTCAAAGGCGCTCGCCTTTATTTCCCTTAATAAAACTGAACTGAACCGCATCGTTTTTATACAGTTGTAGTCGCCTATGGTGTCCTAACGGTATTCTCTTGGTTCCTCCCCCACTACAGTTGACTCACGCCATGATGGACCAGCGGATGCACTCGGGACCGCCGGACAAGGTACTGCCTGCCCGTCCGGATGTGAACGGCACCCCACCCTCGGCCCGCCTTCTCAGTAGTATTGTGCAAGAGTACTGCGACGAATGGCTTGCCGCCGACGAGGCTCCCGACTTCCTCACCGGCAAGCCCATTGCCACCACCCATCGCTTCGGCCATCTGGCTGGCTACGGTGGTCGCTACTACTCCTACCTTATGGCACGTGCTGGAGCAGGTCTTATTTGGCAAAAGGGCTTCGCTGCTGACCCCTGGTCCACAACTTTCGGTCGGGTAAGCGCCCCTTCTTTAGGCAGTTCAATAACCTCGTCCCTAAAAACATGTGAAGCCGCCCTGTCGGACTTAAAAAGGGTCCGCCATTCGAAGTGAGCCTTAAACCACTTTGGATACTGCAATTTGGTTTGAGTTGGGCCTGTAGTTGGTAAGTAGTGAGGCCCGTGCAATGTGTGATCCAGCGCAAACCTCTCCCTAATAAGTGAATCTCTTTCGAACCGTCATGGTGCACTAAAAGTCGTGGCTTCGAGGGTTGGCAACTGACGCAAGCACCCAATCCCTGCCATTGTGCCCACACTATCGGCGGACATTCCGGGCGTGTGTTGGCCTCGTTGGATACCTGCGGACCCACTGCAATGTAGACACGACTAACCCGTCTCCCATCCCACAAGACACCACAATTACCACCATCGGTAACAACGCCACTCCTACCTTCTGACTTTACCATTAGCAATGTGAACTCAATCCTAACCCGTCTCTGATGCAATCGCACTGCCTCATCATGTGTAGACCCGATCGGTCACCTGAGAATCTATTGCACTGAGACCGGCGAACCAGTACCCGTAGGCCCCACACCCACCACTTTTGTCTCATCCGTTTTCAATGCCCCATGACATTCCGGCACCGGGTGGGTTTAGTCGGCATTGTGCGCATCCATGACGGTGAAATATCGAAACATCATCACGACACTCACACCTGAAAACTCCACAGCCTGCATCCCTAGGTGGATACTTCGGCCTCGCAACTCAGGGTCCCCAAGACAGGCTTTGGAATATTACTGGTGACGCCAAATGAACTCGCTCGCTCCCTATTTAGTTCTTCAATGGGCTCTTAATTTGGAGGCCTTTATTATGGTTGTACTCGATTGCCTCAACTCTACTGTGTAGTCCTGGGCGTTGTGAGAAGTTATTGAGGTTTTCCGGACAAAATAGATTCAGAATGCTTTCAAGTTCTTGAGGAAACACGAGAAGCAGGCTGTTTCGAAAAGTGCACGAATCACGAGGCTTCACCTTGTACACAACGTTGGCATTACCCAGCATGTATTCGGTTGCGACAGCTGAAAGGAGACGATCATGATCCGGTAGTTTACTACAGACGCTAGTGTTAACTTTACCATGGCATGCGTGTTCGTTGCTGATAACGTTGGCAGTCTTACTTACCAATCGACGGCATCCTTCGTGTAGTCCTTCGATTATGTTACATTGCATTGACGCTTTACCTTGTACGCTGTACGTGATATTGGCGTTACCCAGCGTGTACTCAGTTGCGACAGCTAATAAGCGGTAGTCACGATCCCGTAGTTTACTACAGGCAGTTCAAGTGGCACTTGGATATGGGCGAAGTTGAAGGACAATGTTCTTTCTGACAGTAAGGGTGGCACTGTATGAGAACTAAAAGCTTTTGTCATTCCTACCAGAACTTAGGCCAGATGTAATGAGTTCCCTTTATTCCTTCTAATGCGGATCTGTGAATCCATTTGCGCAGTGCCCGTCTCATTTCAGCGATACAGGGACTGCCTCCTGCGCCATGGAGGCGAACGAAGACCCGCTTCCATGCTGAAACGCCTGCTCGGAGACTCTACAGATGCAGACGATGGCCCTAGTCTCAGCCCCGATGCTCTGGCTACCGGACTCTTTGAGGACGTGGCGGCATGCGAGGAGACGGCGAAACGAATGTTTGAGATGGAAAATCAGCCCGGTCTGAAGCGAATCCTCTAAACCATCGCCTGTTCTCTCTCGCTCCCGCCCATTCTGAAGTGACGAGGAAGCACGTCGGTCCGAGTACCCAGACTATCGCACGCCCAAGTCTTTCCAAAGCTATTTTGTACTGACTTGCCGTTTTTAGTATTAAGGAAATTAATGGTCGCCCCGATGTTGCCGGTTTTGTCTAGTCGGTGTAACACTAGTTGAATTACGAGTAAAGTTATCTGAGTGCGTACTTGAATTTGAGTGCGACTCCTGGACATCATTTTGGCTGTTAATTTTTACATTCTGCAGTTGCCTGTATATGGGAGAGAATATATTTTTTGAGCGGTGCTCGCGTTGCGTCAACGCATGTGAGAATAGGAAGAAGATAACAATACCAAAAATCCGTGTACTTCAAAAAAGAAACTATTTTACGCTCTCGAGCAGGTCCGTCCCGCCATAGGTGGGCATTACAGGAATGGTTCCAGATCTATCTCGAAGCTCGATACAGACAGTGCCAGGCCAAAATTCTGTAAAACCTGGGGATGGACAATACCAAGTCGACCTATAGAAGTGCCTGGGGGTGTCAGAATGATGTCTGCACAGCGGCCGGGAAAATAGGTTTTGTCTGAAAAGAAAATACAGAAGGGCGTGCGAGAATTACTATGTCGTCTATGATGGCATACTTGTCCCACACTAAGGAAACGTTCACAGACAGACGAGGTGTGCAATGTTCGCACACGTATTTAAATGTAGCAGAAAAAAGCGTGCTATTAGAGAGCTAGTAGCAGCTACATATCGCAAGGATTCGGGGTTGGACACGCTAGCAGAACGCACGCCCTCTTACCGTCAACTTCCTCCAGGTGATACGACAGCTTTTCGGAATTAACTGGCTTGGAAGAGTCCGTGTACTTGGCCTCCAATACGAGCATAAGCCTGTCCAGCAGCCCATGGACAATTTCGAACCCGGAAGTTTTGTTACAGTAAACGGCGCACACGCGACGCAGATTTCGACAGCCAACGTCTACAAAGTAAACATTGTACGTACATTTCTACTTAAATGAAATAAGTAGCAAATGCGTTGGCACTGCTTGTCAGTGTGAGCAGAGTTTTTATCTTGTACCTTTGGCGGGATCCTTCAGCACAACATCCTGCACTTCGAACAACTTCAGGGGGAGTGGGAGGCTTTTATTATTAGCCAAAGTGTGAAGTAGACCGGGAAGGAGAGTTGTTCGTACTACCTGGAGAAGCGATAAAAAAGGTATAAGAGGGTTCATGGGACGCCTCAGTAGTTGGGATTTTCTAAACTTCCAAAATAGAACGGCAGAAAAAAAAAACAGTTAACATGCCTGGCCCTGACGAACTTACTTGAAAATCGAGGGTCTTCGGGTTACTGATATGGACTGCGGGTATCCCCTCCAAGGGCTTCTGCAAGTTTGTGCTAATGTCCGCGCGGGAGCACTAAAATAGGGCAAAAGCATTTTAACGGTCAGTGTTTGCTCTGCCAATTAACAGCTCGCATTCGCAAATGGTCATCTAGATAGCACTGAACACAGCAGGCGTCGTGGTATCAGAAAGTCCGGCTGCCGTTGGACCTCGTCAATGCATTCTCATGGTCACGAAGAAGACTGTTATGGCCGCTAAAGCCCCTCCTAGTCCCATAAGCCTCTTCCAAAATAGGGAAAAACTCACGCTGAAACGCGCACGCACTCTGCAGAATGTCCGGTTTGCTGTAGAAACGAGACTCGTATCACGTCAGTTGAGAGCAGGCCACGGTCAGGAGTTATTAATGGATGCTTAAGGTATCCAAGAATGAAAAATCTAAGTAGTAACATGCTTGAAAGTATTCGAAGGACTGCTTTCTCTCGCGTCAGAGCTGACGGTCAGTCTGCGGCCTTTGATGCTGCAGTCATCTCGCCGGCAGAAACAGTGCAGTCATATTAAAAGGTAGCCAGTGTTGCATGGTGGATAGCGCAGGAATACCCGGGGAGATCTATGCTGGACCAATAACAGTCCGCAACCAGGACCCTGGAAGTACTGTGGTCCGGGGTAACACCCCACCTAAGTTATAAGAGTTAGTTCGCCGACAGTTCGCCGATCAAACATGACTGTGGTCACCGCAATCAAGGAGGAACAGCGATGACTTGCGCGCGCGATGTGGCTTGCAGTAAGGCGACCTTGCGCATCGTTGAACCCACTCTCTCCAAGCGCCCATCATGCTCCAGCTACAAGACAGGGTCAAGACGGTCGGGTACGCTTGGGCGCAGCGGCTGGTCGGGCATAAAGTCCTCATCCCTCACGTGCCATGGTACGGCTGGTTCAATCCTAGAGGTCAAACCAGGCTTCATACGTACATTTGCCGGACGTGACTTCTTAAATTCGCCTGTTTTTAGGGACACGACGGCTAATAAGCCAGAAATGGCCAATCCTGTCTCCCTTGCCTTTGTCGGTGGTAACATTCTGCCTATATCATGCGCCGCTGTGCGGCTGCTGATTGGGCTCGAGAGAGAGAGCCCGTAAGGCACAACGGGACGAGTGAGTTCCGTACAAGAAGACGATCAGTGAGCGCCCCTCTACCATTTAGAGACACCGGTTATCCACATGTACTCTCGCTGTGTTCAGCACAGCTTCATGGGGCCGTAGATAAGAGCTGCCACCGGTGTGACTGTCAGTCCATCAAAGTGGAAACAGCTCTATTGGCTACCCCATCGACCCAAAGTTCGATCGATGGAGGGATTACTATTATGTGAGATCACGAAGGGCGGCAATAGACTGCGGCAAGATGCCACATGAGTAGACAGTGGAGTGGAGCCTCCTTAGACTCAGCGGTGGCCTACTTAGAGCAGCGTTGAGTTCCCTTCCCAGGGAGAAATGTGCATGCCAAAGTTGAGTGTTAAGACGACTAAGGAGGAACCAAACGCACCAGCGAGAAAGTTAGAGCCTCTGTGAAGCCGTACTGGGCCACTTCGGCGCGCACCATATCAGTGAGGCGGTTAAGGGGTTGGCAGGAGACGATGTTGTACGTTGTAGGCAAGTGCTCTTCGATGCGGTCGTAGCCGTAGGATATGGCTACGTCTTCCGCGATATCACAGGGATGCAGGATGTCCTGGCGCGTGGGAGGAATGCGAACAGAGACCAGACCGCTGGTAACTGTGTTCAGGAGAGCAATTCGTTAGGACAAAGAAATGGGCATGAGTGAGAGACATGTAATTCAAGGCTGTATTTCATGAGTCCAGAGACTCAAATGGGGACAAGGGCACTTCTAGTAGCAAGTCTTATAGAGAACAGGGGTAAGTCGACCTAAAGTACCGGGTTTGAACGAGAGGACGGTCGTCGGTTGGAAGAACTTGTGCTATATCCGCAAGTGTTTGGGCTTTGCAGATACCACGGTCAATGCCGACATCTACATTAGACATCCACCCATCGAAGGGAACGCCCCAGCCTGCAGTGCAGCCGTCAATTCAATATCCTCCACCACCTACCTGCTCTCTCATTCCATTTCTGCGGAACAGAAACCATCCCCAGTAGACTGAGCCTACCTATGGGATACCCGACGCGTGTCGGACAGTGGAACGGCCGGCAGAGAAGACCATCTGCGGACAAGTAGGCCCCGTATTTGACGAATATGCAGTCGCGGACTATGTCGCGGTAATATCTCCAGACGTGACTAGCCATCGGTCTGGTAGACCGATGACACATTAGGTCACAAGCCTCGATGCTGTTACATGACAAATGTCGCTAGTCACCCCAACAGGGCTTCGCCTGCAGTCTGGCACAACACCGGAACCCTGAACTGGTGTGTCAGAGTGGTGGTGGTGGTGGTGGTGGTGGTGGTGGTGGTGGTGGTGGACGGAGAGTTCCACTCTCGGACTGGGAACAATGAAAGACCACTCCTCTGTCAGGCCACCAAAACCTATCGCTGTTCGACAACCTACAGTCTGATCAGACTTTTCGGCTGCCCCCAGAGGGCTATGATTCACGTGCTCTGACTAGACTTAGCGGTGGCCAGCGGCTCTAGGAGTTTTGAGGGGGGGGGGGGTATCAGACTGTCGAAACTGTTAGAAGTCGCCTTTACTTTGGTTTGGGAGGCATATAGGCCAGGCGGACTGTGATAATAGGCCTGTAAGTAATAACCACGACTGGATGAATAAGTAACATAAGGCAGCTCACCCTGTTCGCGAGATATGCTGAAGGCCGCAGTGGCCGCCACCAAGTCCGATGCTGCTCCCGCGGACTGACAGCTCAGGCCCATGCTTGTGAGGAGATTGATGATCTCGCCCTCGGAACAGGCCGTGCCCAGCAGGCTGTTGATGTAGTCGACGCTGACGACCTCGTTGCGATATTCCAGGCGCTAGGCAGGGAAAAAGGGATGAAGACCCATTTTCACAAAGAATTGACAAGATAAGCAAAAAGCTTTCCCACCAACCGGCAGCAAGCAAAAGCCTAAGGGGACACAGGGTCGAGTGAGGGCAGACGAAGTTATAAACAGTTTAAACGTCACAGCAGGCGTACTTAAGCACCCTTCCCCCCTCCCTCCATTTTTGCACATTGGTGAGGATCGACGTCGAGAGTAGTTAACAGCAGAGTTAGGTGAGAGACTGGAATGCCGATCCCCTAGCTTGTGTTAGCGGACTTCAGTCAATCATATTCTAGCCCCAGGTAGACCTTCGTACTCGGACTTGACTCGCTGTGATTGCCGGAGAGGACTCTCTGTGGAGGTTCAGGACAAAACGGTTCAACCTTCCTGTCTTGAAACTAGATCGGATTGACGAAATAAGCAAGCCAATTCGACCAGGATATACGTGCGACAAAAATTCGATCTCAGGTCAAGAAGCAGGATCCTGTGGTATGGGACAGTAGCACTGACAAAACACGCAATCCCCTCGTAATAGCATCGAACAAAGTCGAGTTAAACAGTCAAATTGTCATCCAAGATAAGTAAGATGAGCCAAGGGCATCCAACGAACGCGCCTTGCCCGCACCACAGGTATGGGCGAAGTAACCATGAGCATGCCATGCACCCATTTATAAACAACTGCTAACGCCGGCAGTCGTCTTGAAATGGATGCCTGTGACTCGGGTTTTTTTACTCAGCCAAGCTTTGCTCGGATTAGACTGGCCGGCGAACAAATATCCCACTATCTTCCAAAATATGAACACCGTCCTCGCGGTGCTAAATCGGACGAGTGCAGCGCTTGTGACACTAGTTCGACCTGGTTCACAAAAAGTGAGCCGGCGTTTTGCCATGGTGCTCATCTGCAATTTGCTCTCCCCCTCTGCCCCAATAGAAGCTGTAATTGGCCGTTCGACCCAGAGCGCTCGTTAGCGATGCACAACTCCGTGGATGACGGAGAATGCTGCGAGCATATCCTCCACATTTGACCTCACCTGCCCAGTTCTATTCGGCGTCCGTAAACTGTGCAATTTTTATCCGCAAAACTGACGCTTTGGTGTAACATGACTTTCATTAGTATAAGATCTTGAAGGATTCGACATACGGTCATCACAGGGACCAAAGCCGAGACACGTGCTTCGACGACTTCTTTCCGCCGCGAGAGGTACGGCTCACGAATGGGTTGTCCCCTAGCGCTCTTCGTGTGCTTTCAGGCATATACACTCCAGGTCTCAATGTTAAACTCGATAATTTCCAGAGAAATTAATGCACGCAATTGGTGCAAATCTTTCGGGTCATACCGGTTCAGGCTCCGATCGGCGAAACAGGTGTTTAGGCCCTCAATTAGAAAAACGTGTTGGCCGTCTGTTGAGTCATTCTTTCAGTACCGCAACCATAGAACTCAGTTACACTTTAGAGAGCCGTCATAGCACATCCGTCCACTCGCCGGCTGAGTCCTGACGAGGCGGTAGGCTCTTGACGGAATCGGAGGTTTGCCCAACCAGTCAGGCGAGTCAAAATTACAGAATGACACCACCTGATTGGTCCAATATTAATCCTACACCGTGGACATTTCAAATGACCTATTCAGCTATCTCCGAAAGTTCCATTTACTTTTTTTATGCACGCAATTGGTTATTCGTCAAGGCAGTTCACATCTGCCCTAGCTGTTGAGTTCTGATTCGGGAATTCGCTCAGGCAGAGTTGTTGGGCTGGAAACTAGTGAGGAAGATAGTTCCCCCATCTCCTGAACTACGGCCCAAGGCCATCTCCAGTACGAGAATGGTAGTAATAGAGGTCCTTTAAAAGAGGGAATGTGGCGTCTTAAAACATGCAAAAAAGGAAAAAAATGTAAGTGCGCTGCATATATGTGCTAATGTATAAAGAGGAACTCTGTAGGAAGATAGTTCAGGCGGGTGGCACACATATCAGTGCCCCGCCACCATATTTTCTGTATTTTCGAAAGTGATAGTCGTCCTGGAAGTTTGTCGGATTTAACTGACGTCCTGCCAACCACGATCCAAGATTGTCGTCTGAAAAAGTTTTGTGCCTGGGAGCTCACTGCAAAAGTCCCCCAAGTGACTCAGTGGCGGTCCTGCCCAGACCGGCAGACAAAATTTCGTCAGATGGTTTTAAACAAAAAGCGAAATAAAGTCATCAAGATGCCGCCAGGTTTGGTTTCGATTTCTTGCAAACACCTGGGTACGTATGACACAGTCAACTTACGCGGAGTAACCACGTCTTGTTTGCACCTGGAAGTATGGCAGCAGTGTGCTTTACGCAGCGTATATTTTCACTATACGCCTGAAAAATATCAGCTGCATGATGTAACTTCCGGTTCAGCCCACTAATGCATCTCTCCCCACCCCCCAGCGTTCGTCGTGTGACAGAAATGTGCTACTGTTCACATAGACACTTTTCTCTTTTATCTCAGCCAGGTCGGTTCCATGCAGGTGCCTGTCTCTGCCAAGACCATGGAGCCAAGGACGACACCAAAGGGTTTCAAAATAGCATTCGATTGGATTGTCTGTGTGTGCGTGCCTATAAAATAAGCAGTCCACCCTATTTTGGAGCTCTGTAAGCCAACCTGTCCGAACATTCTCGAACACAACCGCTAGGACAACGAACCCGTGGGTCAGTGGTAAGAGTGTTTGACTTTAAAACGCTCAATCGCCAAAGGACCCGGGTTCAAATCTCCGGTCAGCCGGACCCGAGGTTGGGTAAGACTGGCAGACGACGACGACGAGAAGGGACCACCCCAGTCTCCCTTGCCTTTGTCGTTACTTTTTCTGTGGTCACTATGCGACTGCCTACGATGGGAGGGGCTCCAGATTGGGTCCCAAAGGGCAACGGGAGGGGGACGTTCCTAGACGTGTTTGATGAACTACAAAAGTGTCCATAGTCTAGCTAGACCCCGATGTAATGGAGAAAAACTCAGACTTACCGGAAAGAAGGATCTGCTGTTATCGGCCTGAATGACTTCCACGGGTTCCACCCTGGAAAGAAAGAATGTTGCGGCGTGATCGTGGTAATTCAAGTCGGTTAAAAATTAACAGGAGGGGGGGAGAGAAAGTGTGGTTGTTGAGCAATTGCTAAAAATGCACAAATTGATATGGCGCGTAATGCTAATAATCATAATTTCCAGAAGAAGAAGAAGAAGAAGAAGAAGAAGAAGAAGAAGAAGATGCGATCACCGGAACAAGAAATTTATTGGGCTGACGTTTCAGATTCTCCTTATCTGCGACTGTTTCTGACGATGGGTTCGAGTGAGAATCCGAAATGTAAGGCCAATAAATTTCTTGTTCCAGTGATCGCATCTTCGTCTTTTGAAATGTTTCCTGGAACTCGCCTGTTCGCTTCTATCAGCAATTAAAAGTTTTTGGTGCGACTGTGGGAATATGCAGAATATTTGCGCTGCAAACGGACAGACGCTGGCAGGTCGGCTGCTGGTCAGAGCGTTTGGCGCGAACTTGAGAGCTCAGTGGCCCTGCCCGTTCCGCGAGGCAAAAGTCTATTGGATGAGTAGGAATATTTAAATTCCAATGGTTTACACAAGGAAAGGTGACTGCTGCCTAACTTCCAAAAACTTGCGGGCCAGCTTACGTGAATGGAGTGGAACAGTATTCGGAGAACATGCAGACGATGGTGTCAAGCGTGATGGAGGCCTTGTGAAGGTCAGTGGCGGTGCATTCAATGAAGACGTTTCGGGTAGTAAGCTTCAGTTTTGAATGTTCACCTGTGAAGGTAAAGTAGGGATAGAAGCTTCAACGTGAGTGGGTTAGGCCTGGTCCCTCCCTCTTCCCCTCGATTTCGAGGAGTTAATAAATCATAAAAGTAGGAGAGAAGCAACGGCGCAGCAGTCTGTGCAACTAGCACCTGTCATGTTAAACTTGCCTACCAGGTTATCATAGGGAAGTTGGTTGCGGCGGGTGAAGGGGGAAAAAGTTATCACCTGACAGAAACTAAAATTCAGGAGGGCGTTACATTTCGAGGGCGAATTCAACAGCGACACGACTAGTTTGGCCCTTTAGCCAGGACCTTCCAGGAGGATTAAGTTCTAAATGAAAAATTATCAACAAGATTTGTACCTATGTGATGTTTCAAGCCTCAAATTTCACCGTCAGTCAGTAACGAGATTTTGTGCGGTTGGCTAAATGGTAACGCCGGTTACACATTCTTTGAGTAAGTACGACCTACTATCCTAGCGAATCTTAGAATAAAGGTTCTGTGATTTGTTTTATTACAAATGGGACTCCCCGTCTTCATGGCCGCTCAAAAAAGTAACAGACTACAAAACTACTCAGTGCGTCCTCTATCATGAAAATATGACCGAAGAGTGCTCTTTCGTTTTAAATCATCTGCGTCCCCAAGGAGGTCTTGATTCAGCTCGTCGTGATAACCAATCAGGCGGCTAGCGCCCAGGTGCGTGCTACGGCCTCAAAACTAGGGCAGAATCCGTGTCAGCCAGGTCGTTTCGTTACCAAAGCCAGCGCATAGACAGCTTCCTGAGATTCATTTCTTGCGGTATTTGTGACAGGCTTACATTTTCCCGATGCTGCAACCTAGCCGTTTGCTGGCTTTCTTGAAGTGGGAGCAATGTCAGTACCAGCCCTTGGTACCATATCACATTCTAAGACCTAGGTTGAGGCGGGTTTTTCCGGTCTAAGCGGAGGGCGCAGTGATCAAATGTCATTATAAGGAACCATTTGAAGCGGGGTTTGTCTTAGATAAATTAAAGGTTAAAGTCTTATGCATTTAAAAGCATGTACGGAAAAAAAATACTTTAAACGATGACGGTACGTGAGACGTAGTTGTTTCTTGTACGACGGAGAGTAATGTTTACTAGTAGTGGACGGTGTTGCAACCGACTGCCCTTATATAATTGAGCAGCATTCAATGACTTTAATACTGTGTCTTCAGGTCAGGACTGCCGGAGCGTTGTGATGTCTAGAGGGGGCATTAGATTGCTTATCTGAATAAAACCAAGAGTAGCATCGGCATTACTGGCTACTCTCTCCAATCACGTACCAATGGCAAAACGCGGTCATCCATTCTGACCCAACTGTGAAAAACTCGGCGATCTCGGTGGGACTCGAACACAGCACAGCAAGATAACGGCTTGAGCACAGCCAACGTTGGGTGGGTAACTTAATTCAAATGTGATTAAAACCACGGCTCCGGAATCAGGCCTCGTACAGTAGGTGGGCTAACTCATGTAATGTCAACCGAAATTCCGAAATGCGTTTTCGTTTCGGAAAGATTAATTACGCAGGGTTGTAAAATTAATCATCAGGAGGCATAATTTCATAATAATTTAGTTACCTCAGGATGCCGGCTTTTGAACGAACTTCTTTCCGGCTGTGTGCATAAACCAACCACACTGTAAAAAATGGCTACTTAAGAAGCATGCATTTTTTCATTGAGTTTCGGCGTCCTTATAAATTCAATTATATTTCATGGAAAACATGCATAAAATATTCATTCTTTTGCTCGTTCGGTAGAAAATTACGTCTTCTTTCAACTTTATACTCAAAAGAAGGGTATTATTCAGTTTTCAAAAAGTTTCTATTTAAGATTTTTTGATACCGTAAAATGGCCGTTCATAAAACGTCATGTCTGTGCATGTGCCAATGTGGCTCATAAAGTTAACAATATGGCTCAAATCTACTGCCAAATTTTATGAACCCCCATATCGTCTCCTCTTAATACCGTAGAGTCATGTATGATTTTCCGTGCACGGAAAATATACAGTTTGTAGTTTGGAAACCCTGAATGCAAGTGTAACGGCTGGTCGGGTTCAAAATTATTCGGGAATTGGAAAAGTTTTTTGAAAACCGAATTATACCCCCTCCCTTGAGTAGAAAATTGGAAGAGTACGTGAGTTCCCACCAAATGAGTAAAAGAAAGAACATTTTCGTGCATGTTTTCCAGGAAATATAATTGAATTTGTAAGGGCATCAAAACTCAATGAAAAATGCATGCTACTTAAGTAGCCATTTTTTTACAGAGTGTGGTTTATCCACGCAGCCGAAAAGAAGTGCGTTCAAAAGCCGGCATCCTGAGGTAACTGAAGCATTATGAAATCATGCCTCATGATGATTACTTTTACAACCCTACTTAATTAATCTTTCTGAAACGTAAACGTATTTCGGAATTTCTGTTGACGTTTCATGAGTTGCCCACCTACTGTAGCTCAGGTGGCTAGTGTCGGCTGTACTTAGGCCTTCCGCCTAGTTGTCGTGGACTCGAAGCCTTACCGAGATCGCCAAGATTTTAACAGCTGGGCCAAAGTGAATTATTCGAAATCTAAGTTCAGCGAATATTCCCATGTTGCAATTGAAAAGTCAAATTGGCGAACACGTGTTTTCAGTAACTCTTCATCAGGCCAAAACGTTACATTGAAGTTTAAGTTATGCGAACTACATAACTTATAAATGATTCGGGGACAATTAACATCGATCGTTCCCACGCCACTCGCATGAAGAGGCGTGCTATGGCGTGGTCGGCGTGTCGTGGTAATTGGGTTCATGGGGCGAGGAGGAGGGGGGGCATAGGCTGTGAGTGCGTCCTGTACCTTGTGCACCCACCCTGGCATCAGGAGGTTGGAGCGACGTTGGGGTCGGCGTCGGCCACGGAAGACAGAGCGCCTGTGTCAGAGTCTTCTGACAGCATAGCACTGGATTGGCTAGCCGTATAGCCACTGCCTCAGCTGTAGCTAGCACCCGTTGGCGTAGGCCTTTGGAGAAGCCTGCTGGTGTCCGGTAGACAATCTGAAAGGCTTCTTTGGCATCGACTCGGTGATTCGTATCGACAAGATGTGCGAGAATAGAACTCGAGATCGATTTCTTCTCACCTTTGCCTAGCCAGGCCGGTATGTGTTCACGTACTCTCTTTTCCAAACGCCTCGTTGTACGGCCGATGTAGCCTGCCTAAACGCTTACTAAATCGCAGTCAGGCAAACGGAGATGAGACCGCGCGCAGTGGCTGACGTGCTATATAGTCCTAGTCCGAACGTGTCACACAAGCGCCGATCCCAACGCCCGCTTTACCAAACTGCATTAAAACCTGATCTCACTTAAGCCAGGAATGCCAAAAAGTCACGTACAGAAGGTACTGTAGTCTGATGCTTAGATGAGAGGACAGTGTTGTTGTGTCAGTCGGTCGCACACTCGTCTCACGCATCGGCCTGGTCGGTCACTTGTAAATCCACCGCACTGTGACTGGCGCACAAGTGTCAGAAGCCCTCACATACACTCACCACATCCGCTTCCACTGTCCGCACTGTCTACGCAAAACGGCGGAATTCACTGCGATATCGACATGTCAGGCATGCGTTGCACGCCAAAAAACTCACTCATCCCCAATCTTACCAACTCCCATCCATCGGTGCGACTAACACTAGCAGCACTACAACGGCTACCGGTTTAACATCCCTCAACCTATCCTGGCCATATTGTCACCGCACGTGCACATTACGCATCGGCCTGGTGGGTCGGTTGCGACTTCATCATACAGGGACCGGCAAACCGGTGTCTGGAACACCAGCACACATCAGACGTCATCGCCTCAATTGCCCACATTGTCCCCGAACAGTCGCCATCGCATGGGCCTATTCGGTCCCATGCGCGCTTATGAAAATTCAGTAAATCAGCGTACACATGACCCCATCACCAAACATTCTCCTATCAACACATGCACCCCACATGAACACCTACAACATCCTAAAATGCAGACACCTCTCACCTAAGTGAGAAGTGTGTTATTCAGTCCCCTTCTCCATGTGGTTCATCTGCTGCTGTCGCAGTCCACGCCGGATAACAAGACGACAGAGAACAATTAGATTAGCAGCTACTAGGTTTTGCACGATATTTTTTACAATAAAATCTTATTTTAAAAAAACATTTACAAGACTTCCGCGTAAAGTATTTGCCGTGGCATACGACGGAAGGGGGGGGGTTGGTGAACTGAAAGCTGTTGTAGGATCTACATGGCGGAGACTGGGGGAAAACAACCGTCGTACATGGTGGATGCCAGACCTGGCGCTGCTGCTATATGGCGCACCGTATCGCAACTTTTCGCCATCGCCTCCATAGCGACCAAATGGACAAAACCCGCGCCTAGTCAGGACTTTTCTGCAGCAGTTCGCTGTCGCCTCCATACGGAATTTCTACCAGGGTAGACAATACTTCTCGTCGCTCTCTTCGGCCAGAATCTGCAGTTCGCAGGCATAGAGATCATCAGCAATTTCGTCAGTCTCCGCGATAAAATAGCAGAGAACTAGCGACTCAATGAATTTACTATAGGAATTTTAAAAAAACAGAACCGAACGTACTTCATGACTAATTCGTGAGTTGTGACCCCTTTGGCAAAACTATAACCGCCGAATGTCAACAGTCATAAGCCCAAGTACCTCCCTGATAGAAGGACTGTCCGAAAATTCTACTCCTTACATTCCTATATCGGATATGTGGTCTTAACAGGAGCTGGATATTGCACAGTAGCGATTGCTTTGGTCCTAAGAGGTCACAGAACTCGCTGTCGGGCACGAGTCAGGCATTACGTATCTGCAGGCTTTCCATGCGAACTGACATGCGTATTTCTTGAAAGTAATGCTTAAAATAACCAAACAGTTGATAAACGGCCATACATAACCTAAGCGATGACTTTTCTGAAGGCGAATACCCCGTACTAAGGAAATCCTATTCAGAAAAAACGTCCTGTCGGGGGTCTTTTTTATAAAACAATGCACCTTATATTAGGAGGGCAAAAGTAGAAGGCTCACTGCTTAAGAAGTGATTCTTCAGGGTGAAATTGTCACTACTGGTTGACATTATTTGATTAGAAAGCTAGCACGCCGCTGGTTACAAAGTCTACATCCCACGCCCAGTGAAGAGTGTCACACATTACCGCGCATATTGTAGTCGAAGGCAAGGCGGGGAAGGGGGCAAATATTAAAGTGCATTAAATTAAAAGTGAACTACCATTGATGACGGGAGGCATTGATAGGACTGTGCCCTTCGAATCCAGGATGACGGGGTACTTGGGCTCGCCTTTCAACAGCGCAATGTAGGGCTTGAGGTGAGATTCTTTCTGAAGGGGAGGGAAGTTAAAATCAGATCAAGTGATGAACAAATTAACGCTTCCATGCTGTAAAACAAGCTGCATCCACTGGCGTGACAAAGAGATCTGCCTCGTCGATGCGGTGCAAGTAGCAGCGTAATAGGACGTGAAGTTTAAAGAAAAATCGGCGCTATTGCCGCCACGACCCCCACCAACAACATTGACGCCGCAAAAGTCAGGCTCCTCCCTCTGAAGAAAATCGAACTATCACGTGCATGAGTACGACAGGGCACTTCAATCTCACTAGTGTCACTTTTTGACTGGCACCAACTTGCCTTGTTCACAAGCAAATTGAAACTTCTAGAAACCGAAAGCTACCCCCTTTTTGAAGCAAAAAATAGAAAGCATAATTTACTACAAAATAACTACAAGAAATTATGTTCCTGTGTATGCTTTCCATAAAATATATTTGGACTTTCGGATCATGCTGCATGATCATCAATATTACAATCCGACCCAAGCAATTCTTTCCAACCGAGACCATATTCCAGAAGTTCAGCTAGCACTTCAGGGGCTATGACACCCACTGTAACTGGTAAGGAGCTTATATGACATTGTGAGGGTTTTATGCACAGTGAGCAAGGTGCTGTCGGTAACGCGGCGAGGAGGCAAACTAGAAAGCGGCATAAGAAGAGGCACTTACGCACGCTAGGGCTGAGCAGTCGGCCCTGTCCAGCCTGAAAGATAACGGCATAACCCAATTCCTGTCGGGTAGTTAGTTTGGTACTAAACCGACCACTCAAAACCCGCAGCCGAATGGTGGGCATTTTTATTCGCAGAATGAAAGCCTGTCATTTTAGTGGCCAGAATAGGCGACAAGGTTGCTCCTAAAACGGGTCACGCGGTAGATGTGCTGGATCAATACCGGAGGGGGGGGGGGTACATTGGAGTCCGGCAGAAGTCGTCGAGGATGTGCACCCGTAAAAAAAATACCAAAATTTGGTTGTAGTGACGGACCTAGTTGCAGGCTCACAGCGTGTCAGTTGGGATCCCTGCCGTCCCTCTATTTTTGTTGTGGTATAAGACCCTGGTTAATGTACGTGGCGGACCGGGGGGTGTAGTGGTAAGCCTTGTTGCTAGTTCACACACCTGCGTTCTCTTCCGCCTTCGGTCTTTTTGACGCTGTCTTGGCACTGGATCCAGGTGGGGGAAGAGAGGGTGAGGAAGACGCTGCGCATGCCTGCCACCACTTTAAACTAGCTCAAGCCCAAGTCACCCTGCTGTGGAGCACACGGTGGACATCATCGACAACGACGGTCAAACTGCCGTCCAGGGGTCGTTAGAGTAGACTACGACAGAAGAGTTCTGCGCCATCAACAGGAAACCGGTTCGAACAACCGACCTCACCACAACGTGAAAATTAATGAATACTCCGATTTACAGGGTGAGAAAACGACTCTCACGCTAGGCTTTCATCGTCCGCCAGGCATCTGCCAAAAGCCCAAGGCAGCGAAGAAACAAAAAAGACCAGCTCATGACCAACTAGCATGGCATTTCTGCCTGACGAACCCCTTGTCAACACGTTAAAATTAGTGAATACTCCGATTTACAGGGTGAGAAAACCGTAGTCTGAACGACTCTCACGCTAGGCTTTCATCGTCCGCCAAGCATCTGCCAAAAACCCGAGGCAGCGAAGAAACAAAAAATAGGCCAGCTCATGACCAACCAGCATGGCATTTCTGCCCGATGAACCCCTTACCCTTCTCAAAGTATCACCCTGAAAGTCTCAACTTTGCCAACCTTACACCGCGAAAGTCTTAAACGTCCAACATGGAGGGTGGTAACTTTAACCTGCCTCGCTCCTAACGTCTTTCTAATTGCAGTAATTTCTTGGTTTTTTATGGTGCATTTATCGAAACCATGCTGAAAATTAGTATTCGGTCTACGAGGTAGAATCTCTTATGACAGCTTTCAAGGGTCTTCTCATTTAAAATTATGACAGGTGGGCGCTCACCGATCAGATTACGGAACGTTCTCGTTCCGTTGTGCCTTGGGGCTCACACTAGAACCCTCGCAGGCAGTCGCACAGCGAATAATAGCATGAGCCTCGAGGCACAACGGAACGAGCATGTTCCGTAACCTGATCGGTGAGCGCCCATCTGTCCTAATTGATACTCCCGATCGCAACCGACAGGACAACGGGCCCGTGGCTCAATGGTAGAGCGTCAAACTCCATGACCAAAGATCTCTTGTTCGAATCCCAAGTGACTCACACTTGAGGTTGGGTATGACTGGCTGATGACGGCTAATAAGCCAGAAATGGCCATTCCGGTCTCCCTTGTCTTTGTCGGTACCACCTGATTTACATCATTCTACTAGTCGCTGTGCGACTGCCTGCGAGGGTTCTAGTATGAGCCCCAAGGCACAACGGAACGAGCATGTTCCGTAACCTGATCGGTGAGCGCCCATCTGTCCTAATTGATATTCCCAATCGCAACCGACAGGACAACGGGCCCGTGGCTCAATGGTAGAGTGTCAAACTCCATGACCAAAGATCTCTTGTTCGAATCCCAAGTGACTCACACTTGAGGTTGGGTATGACTGGTTGATGACAGCTAATAAGCCAGAAATGGCCATTCCGGTCTCCCTTGTCTTTGTCGGTACCATCTCATATCTAAAATTCCTTGAAAATAATTCATTGCTAGCGTAAAGCGTTATCACAAAATTAAGTTGCATGAGGTAATACTAACCGAGTAGAGTTCAGTCATCTCAGTAGCCGTGAAGGCTTGCGTCTGATTAAGAGGCCGGAACCGTATCTTCGAGGGGGGCTGGGCATCGTAGACGAATGGTGGTCGAAGAGTGTCAAGATCATGCGTTCCAATTGCCACGATACTTCGTTTACTATCAAACGACGTTATCATGTTAGACAGGTAACCAGAAACCAGTGAGTCATAACACGGTAGGCGACTCAAATGTGTTCGTTCAAAGATATACACATTCATTTTCATATTCATTTTTGTTTGATATGAAGGTAAATTGAGCGGTATTAGGAACAGAACATCAAGCGGTATAGGCAGATACATCCTCGTAAAAAGGAGCAGTAAACCACAATATGTGACTTAACTCCAGAAACGAGATGACAGAGATCTGCACTATCATTTCGGGGCATCTTAACTGTCGCGTACTTTACTCGTTAGGCTATCGCCTTCCGAAAGAAGTCTTTCCCTGGCACAAAATATTTCTGAACGATCTTGTGAATGAAAAAAATCATAAATCTGAGCAAAAATAAACGTCGCCTTATAATGACACAATTTCTTATGTTAATCGCTCTCTAGCACCACATATGTGCATTAGTGTTTTTCTACCAGAGGATATTAGCCTAAACGGGGGGGGGGGGATTTATCCGTACAATCCTTGCCCACTTGAAAATCTATTATTTGGTCCGCGTAAGTTAGCCAAGGTAGGATGCGAATAAGCAGACTATTTAGAGGGAAACACAACTTTAAAAATCCCGATTTGTACGAAAACGGTGATAACGCCTACAGGCGATCTTCTGTTTTGACCTATCCCTATTTTCGGGAAATATTCAAACATCCTGCAAGTAACTGCAAAACGGTCCGCCATAAAACAGTCGGCTTAACTTTCTAGCACAATTTGTGGCATTTTTGTGCGCTCTAAATTTTGCTCATACGTAACAGCATCAGCAGTTCCGATAAGATTTTAGTGTTTGCATGGTCACTCTCTGGTACATTCATGACCCTCGAACGGAGCCTACATGTAAACGAACATAAAGAAAAATTATCGGCATCTTTCAGGAAAGTGCACAGGCGCGCCAAGCGTTCCGATACCTTCCCCGACTTTACTTCGGAATAAAAGGAGAAGACGTGTGCATTCATCAGTTAAATACCCCCCTCCCCCCAAAGATAACTTACTAGAGGTTATTCTAATAACCAATAGTATACTCGTCACATGCCCTAGTTGTGGAAGTCTATTCTTCGAAGGTCAGGTTTCATTGCTTGGGTGAGTTTAGAAATATGGCTAAAACCGCTATCTGCGTAAAAAAGACAACCCGAAGACTCACTGCTTAGGTAAGTGCTTTCAAGTGCCCTATTTTGAAGGTTTTAGTAGATGAGAACCACAGAACCTATCTCCGTCGCTTAACTAACACAGAAGGTTTACGTCTAAAATGTTCTCTTGATACACAGAGAATGACATGTTCATGACTGCGTTCGATAATTCGGTTTCAATTTCCAGGTCACTGGCCGACCACCCGGCGTGAGACCGTTTGAAGACCTTTATCCCAGTGACCTCCATATCTGCAAAGTCTGGTGAAATCCTCTCTTTCTTAGTCAATCACACACCACGAATTGCATGGGATTTTTAAAAACCATTGTGGAACACGCAACTAAACGTTAGCCAATGTAGTGGCCGCCATACTTCTAATAAAATAATTCTAGAGGATATTGACCGCGACCATTATAAATCAGATTTGGTGGATTCCAGACGTTGCAGTAGGTTGGGCGGGTAACTTGCCCCAAATGTGATTGAACTCGCGTCGGCCGGCGGGGCCTCGTAGCTCAGATGGTTAGAGTGTTGGCTGTACTAAAGCCTCCCTTTGCTGTCGTGGGTTCGAATCCCACCGAGGCACCGAGTTTTTTGCAGTTGGGTCAAAGTGAATTATAAAATGCTTTCTATAAACTCTATCTTACATATGCCGTTTTATTTGCTTGGTTGTTTCCATGCACAGCTCCTATGTACTTCTACAAATTGACTTTATGCAGCTGACATAAAGTTCCACTCTTCTAAAGAAACTTGTTACTCCTAAACAACATAAGATACATAAAATACACCTTTTGTGTTTTCACTTAGTTGGAAGTCATTTATGGTTAACGGATGGGGGGGGTGTTGGTCGATGCGTTTGTGTCGGTTTCCGATTGAGTAGGGATTCTTCGTGCATGTAAGCACATTTAATTATTTGGGTTATTTACTGTACAAGTGCTTGGCTGTCCCAAAAAGACCGACAACTGGTCTTTGCAAATGCCTGCAATTAAGTAGATGACTCAGAATGGGAAACGTAAAAGTCGTGAGAGCCGACTGAAAGGCTGCATGCACAAGTCTGGCATTGACGGTAATGCTAAGCGTTTTGCGTCAATAAGTAAATAACGCAGGAAGTGTGTCAAATCACTACTGCATGAGATCTCATGCACCAAGGCGCAAAAAATAACATCTACACGACAACAGCGAATCGTGTATTAATAAGGCAGTTCGTCTGCCGTCGAATGTCAAGAAATAAGGATCAGTTTCTACACTACCATAGTGGATGCCACTACATAGGCCTTGACAACGTGAACCGAGGCAGCCACTCAAAATGGGGAGGATCACGACTACTTGAAGCATTTTGTCCCCGGTACGAAGCTGAAGTAGGCAAGAACGGCAGGATTTATTGGCACCAAAAAATTTCGCGACTGCTCTTCAGCTGCTTCCTGTCGCTTCATAAGAGGGATAACGAGTGAGTGTATTGTTCTCACTCGTTATCCCTCTTACGAAGCGACAGGAAGCAGCTGAAGAGCAGTCGCGAAATTTTTTGGTGCCAATAAATCCTGCCGATCACGACTACGGTTAAACACCAGCAATATGTCATGGTGGTACACGTGGCAGACAACGGATCCACGCCAGAGACCTTAGTGATGACCAATGGAATGAAGCAAGGTCGCGTCCTCGACACAACCTTCTTCAATCTCATGTTGTTCACAACGTAGGCTGACGCCTGCAAGGGGGATCGACCAGCAATCGACATGAACTATCGAACTGACAGACAACTGATAGAAGCGAACAGGCGAGTTCCAGGTAGCAGTTCAGAAAGCGAAGATGTGATCACTGGAACAAGAAATTTATTGGCCTGACGTTTCGGATTCTCACTCGAGTCCATCATCAGAGACAGTCGCAGATAAAGGTAATGGTAGCACAAGGAGTGCAGTATTTATAGCACGTGGCTGCCGTGGGACCATATGAACGCTGTAATTAACAGCTCTCGGAATCACCGCTGGGGTCGTAACTGATAATGGAAAGTTACGGCGGCAAACTGTCGCGGTATTGACGCCATCCTCCAAATACGGATTAACGATGCGTCTTAGAGGGCTACAAATACAAAAAGTTTGCCGGACTTGATAATGTGGATCTACTAGTTATGCGAAATTAAGGAGGGATGATGGAAGGTAAACTTATAGTGGTGTCCTGTAGACAGCAATGACAGACAAAATGGAATATAAACTGGTCGTACCGGCCAATGGTCTGGTGAAGCTTGTCCTGTAGATCAATAAAGCTGGCATAGCGGTCCTCGTCAAAGGCAATATTCCTCAGAACGGCCGCAACGACGAAGGGACGCACTTCCAAGACCTGTAACGCACAACATTGGGAGCGGATGAGATTTTTTCCAAAGGCAAGAAGTTAGTTTGCGTGACTTGATTGAGGCTGAATACTTAGGCAAACCTGCCTTATTTTACCGCAGTAACGGCACAAACAACCATGCGGTTTCTTTGGTTTTTACTGCAAATAAGAACTCACATTAGGAGAAGCCCGAATTTGTATATGGGGCATCGGAAGGATGGCACGATATTCCGGCGCAGCTATTCTAAAAAGCACTTTAAGATGCTTTTGCACTTACTTGCCCTGAAAAATGAGGAGGGCTCGGGTGAGGCCCTCAGCGCACAGGAGGTCATAGCGGTTAGCAGGAACTTCCACTTTGTAGATTGTCGTATCACTCTTCGAGCCAACCGCTCCAACGTCGCCCTGTTCACGTTTGGCTAATTCTTGTTCAGATGTCTAAACATGACGCTTTTATTAAGACAGGCGAGGTGAACGAACAATTTCATCCAATTCCAGCCCAAAGGCAAAGCAGAGGTCTGTGAACTCCTCTTCAGCTAAAACGAAAGGCGCTAATGACGAGTTTGCGAGACTTACTAAAGCTTCTTTTCAGTTTTTGGAAGAGAACATGCTCCGGCACAGAGACGATCGGCATCACCAGAACTAGAATAAAAAAATAGCAAGCGTTTCACTGAAAAGGCGTCAGTTAAAATAACATGGAATTGAGTTTTGGATGGTTCAAATACTGAAATCGTAAACTTGTTAAGGGCTGCAGTCACTTTTATAAAACGGACCGGCGAAACAGTGCCCGCAGCATCAACACACACCCGCCGTCATCGCTTCAGCCGCCCGCACTACCCTCGCACGGCCAGCCATTGCATGGGCTTGCTCGGTCACATACGTTTCCTTAAAAACCTGCAGCACACCATACATTTCCCAATCAACACATGCACCACACACATGCGCCTCCAACATCACACAGCGCTGGCACGAACTGGGTACCTCTCACATAAGTTCGAAGAGTGTCCTTTGGCTCCTTCTCCGTGTGGCTCCACTGATACAAGTGAGATCTGAGCAGTGCTGGTCGCGTGTGTGGCACACGCAGATGGACTATTCTTAGTTTTTTCAGCCCCCTCTCACAATCTCAGCATCAGTTGGCCGACCGGCTTGGATAATCGACTGTTATACGTGAAGGGCAAAAGGGTGAGGTCCACGTCCAAACGCATTCTCCTAACTATATAAACAATCTGGCGCTCTTGAGACTATCACTGTACGCCAAAAGCCGTAGCTTGGAAGATTGTCAACTGAAATCCAACTCAGACCACGAGGTCAGCCCAGTGTGCGCTAGTGTGGAATGGTGGACTAGTGGTCTGAATCAGACTGCGATGACTCCTTAGGGTGGCCTTTATGGCCCTTCCACTCGGTTCGGATCCGAACCACCCGCCTTCTTGTTGCGTAAAATCCTGGTTCTTTGTGCGCGGACTAGGGGGTGTGTTGGTACGCCTAGGTGCGGGCTCACGCCGCTCCAGTCACCTGTCCCATTTCCAGCCTGCGGTCTTTTTGATTCTGCCATGATACCGAGAATGCAGTAGACGCTGCACAAGTCTAGCTACACCGTAAACGAATTAACGCGCAAGTTACCGTTCCTGCTGTGAGGCACATGGTTGACACCGTCGAAACTGACGGTCGAACAGTCGTAAAGGGGACATGTTTAAACAGAATACGAGTCCCAGAAGGACCGTGTGATAGATTTTTCCGGTTTGGTTAGAACACATTTTTCTTCAGACACTACATAAAGTAAATGAAGTAGGTGATTAAAACTGTCAAATGGAAGAAAGCAGGCCTTGAAAAACCTTGTGAAATAAAAGGTCTGACATTATTGACAGATTCCAAAACTTGACAGAAATTTACTTAAACGTCGACTCAATGGGCAGGCCGAGGGTAGTTTCAGAATTCAAGCGATATGTCAAAGAACGATAAAAGTATTTAAGTTGGTCAAACTAGAACAATCCGCGGACTTACGCGGTTACCTGGAAACCTTTAAAACTTTCCTGACAAAATCTGCAAGAACTTAAACGGAAACCCAAAAGCGCGGAACCCATTGGCGAGACGGCAGTGAAATACAACAAACGAACATGCTGCATAAGATGGAAATCGAGACACAAATCACTTAAAATCACACCGCGGAACAAAGGCGCAAAGTTTAACAAACGACAGGCGGCCGAGAAGGCCGACGCGAAGTAGACAAGGGGCTGCATTTGATGGGATAATAACAAAGAGGCGATGCTAAGAGGGCGCAAAACAAGGTCTCTTTTAAAAAGAGTCTAAGGCCATGTACGATGGATGAGCTCCTCTGTAGATCTTACTACAAGGTCCTGCCAGGCGCTTGTGCCACACGAACGTGCAAAAATTATGAGCATCTAGGGAACTGAAGGAAGTCGACGAAGGAAATGTACCGATAGTCGGAAAACTAGGATTGTTTAGTTGGATACTCATCTTTATAAGCCAAAATGTAAGAAACTGTTCCGACGCATATTACGACTCAAAAAAAAACTTTCTGATCTACGCGACTCACTTATGATCCCAGTACGCATAAGTACCCTCCCTCCACCCCCACTCCTCCCTAAATTTCGGATATGTTTGGGTCAAAAAATTAAGAAGCGTCCACATCATTAATGCCGTGATCTATCTCGTATCCTGCGAAGAGGGAAACGCAGAAACACTTATGAAGACAGATAGCCCAATTTGACGTTTGGAAGCGTGACGTAGCTGGCACATTACGCAACAAGATGATGAGCTAAGGCTCTTGGCAGCGAACTTTTTCAAGATTTTCCATGTTATGAACGAGAGACAGAGAGCAAGCATGTGAACAGTATTTCAAATGTGTCTAAAAAAGTTATAGAAAGTCGAAACCGCTGAGATTTTGAAAAGAATATCGAACAGAGAAGGAGTGGATGAGTGCCTCGACAAAACCCCTTAGTTATTTGAAGAGGGAAAGTTGGCTGGATTAAGAATTACCAAACCCTCATCAGAATCAGCAAATGTAGTGACCACATCTCCTGCGTCCGAACAAAGAACTAAACTGGGGTTGGACTCGTAGTGAGGAGACTGGGCTTTATGAATTTACTGTGGGATCTATTCATGAATCCGGGATTCAAATCCAAAGAGAGATCCCTGGATAGACGTAAGGCAGTTATTTTAGTCTAAGACCAAGGCATTATGGGGAGAGAGGGCGGTCACCACCAATTCCTTCTGCGGCCCTTTAAATGAATCCAAAACAAAGGCGGTTGTGAAATCGGAACAAGCTTAAGGTCAGCGTGGACAGATTATTACGGTGTACTGCTCGTGCAGGAATTCGTGGTTAAAAAAATTCTAGCACAATGTGGCGGTGACCACTTAAAGTCAGGCTTTTAACTTAGGATTCTGCAGAAATGGAAGAAGTGAATAAGTGTGCCGATCAGCGAATCCAAGTATCAAAATTAACATCAGAGAGTTTGGCTCTGTGGACTCTTTCAGTTAAGAATCAATAGTTTATATATTACTATCAAAGACAAAAGTCACCCCTTAAATGCACCAAGTTGTTCTATGGGCGAGAACTCGTCAATTTACGAAGTAGTTATCACATGATTCTGGTCTAGCCGTCTTTTTACGTCGTATTTCCAAGTGCAAGAAAAAATTAGTCGTTCCTGTTTGACATTCGAAGTTCTAATTTCAACAAACTTGTGGCAGTTCTCATATCCCTGCTATTATTGCAGTCTCTCAAGGCTAGCTTCAGCGCACAGTCTGGGGCCAGGCTTGTGATTAGCTGACTCTACAGTAATCTTGGCAGGCAATATCCGTATAATCCCTTCGCAGAGGCAGTGCTTGGTTGCGGCGAGTGCAACGGGTGTGCGTCAATGACGAATATAACCTAAAAGATGCAGTTTGATGTGTTGGGCGTACAATGAATATCCTTAATTGGTTCAACCGTGGATTTTGTAAACATATATTTACAAAATCCACGGTTGAACTGCTCACGGACAAGGTATATACCTTGTCCGTGGGCAGTTGAATAAGCTGACGGAATGTCTGACGTCATCAAATTCTTCTAAAGCACGCAGGCTGAGCACCGTCAACCAATTAGATAGCCTGCCCCAGTCAAGCTCGTAAACCCAATCTATAAGTACAGGGCTGTCCCTGTGCAAGGGACACCCTTGATATATCAGGAATATAAAAGACTAACTCTGGTGTTTGCCTTTATTGGGAGACCATGGACCCAATGGTAGGCCGAAAAAATTAGAAATGTGCCAGAAGACTAACACGAGTGCAGATTAATCTCAAAAAACTTACACGAATTATGGGAAAGCGACTCACAAGGACGACAACAGCCTGGGCGCGGATTATTTACACGTCAAGTGGCTTGTTGCAGACCAATAAAATTGTGACAATTGTTTTTTGGCTTAACTCTCAAATATCAGAAGGTAAAGGTCAACGTCGGCTTAGTCGGTAGTTTTAATGATAAAATGCCTTCTCTGCAAAATTACTGTCGTTTAGATCCGAGCAAACAATACAAAAGTGGCTAAGAGGTACATGTAGCTCATATATGTCAAAGGGGAAAAACATCGGATCGATGGTTCTCAAGACACAGAGGAACAAACTGAGGAAGTTGATAATGCAGACGCGGTGGGAATTCGAGAAGAACTTGCTACAAAAAGCAACGCAGAACCCAAAATTGCTCTACAGCTACCTCCGACGAACTACAAGGAACAGGCATCAAATCCCTTTGATAAAGACTACTGATGGCGATGAGATCGCTGATAGTAGGGATAAAGCTGCATTGTTAGGGGGCGCTCACCGATCGTTCATACGGAACTCACTCGTTCCGTTGTGCCTTATGGACTCTCTCTCGAGCCCAACCAGCAGCCGCACAGCGGCGCATGATATATAGGCAGAATAGTCGGTAATACTATTCTGCCTATATATCATGCGCCGCTGTGCGGCTGCTGGTTGGGCTCGAGAGAGAGTCCATAAGGCACAACGGAACGAGTGAGTTCCGTATGAACGATCGGTGAGCGCCCCCTAACATTGTATATTCCCGATCGAAAACCGACAAGGCAACGGGCTCGTGGCCCGGTGAGTAGAGGCGTTGACTTCTAAACCAACAGGTCGCGAGTTCGAGGCTCGGGTGTTCCACACTTCGGGCTTGGGTATGGCTGGCTGACGACGGCTAATAAGCCAGAAATGGCCATTCCAGTCTCCCTTGTCTTTGTCGGTAATACTATTCTGCCTATATAAAGCTGCATATTTTTCACGGTTTTTCCAATCAGTCTACACAAACGAGGCAAGGTTCCTTCCTCCCTCCACAGAAGAACTGCCGAATCCAAGCGTCAGTGATATACTCTTCTCAGAAGGCATTGTCCGAAGAGAATTAGAGGCATTGAACGAATCGAAGTCGCCAGGACCAGACGAGATTCCACCCAAGCTTCTGAAGGAACTTGCCAGTGAGCTCTCTGTGCCTTTGTAGATGCTCTTTCAAACGTCATTTGACACTGGAACACTTCCTATAGATTGGAAGCTGGCGCATATTACTCCGCTACACAAAGGAGGTAACAGGGCAGCGACGACAAATTACCGGCCCATAAGCTTGACATGCATTCTCTGCAAAGTTATGGAAAGGATCATAAAGAGTGAACTGATGCAATTCCTGGAAGTTCACGGCCTGCAATCGAAATGCCAACATGGGTTCCGAGCAGGCAGATCCTGCACAACAAACCAGCTGCAATCTCTGCAGACCTGGACCCGAGCTCTCGACGACAGGCACGCGGTCCACATAGCCTTCATCGACTTCCAGAAGGCTTTCGACACTGTGCCACACCAAAGACTCTTACATAAGCTGAAAAAAATAGGGAACTTCCTTAAATGGATCGAAAACTTCCTTGTGCGTCGGTCGGGGAAAATCAGATCCGGCTATGGTCGATAGTGGTGTCCCCCAGGGCTCAGTTCTGGGACCCATTTTGTTCCTTATCTACGTGGACGATGCCGCAAGAGATTTAGACTGTGAAGTAGCAATGTTTGCGGATGACATGAAGATATGGAGTGTAATTCGGGGTCCTGCCGATGAAGACAGACTGCAGATGAACCTGAATCGGTTGGAGGAGTGGTCAAACCGTTGGCTCCTGCGGTTCAACGTTGCCAAATGTAGCATACTTCGCCTAGGCAACACAGCCAGATCCGCCAGCACAAGAGGCTACTTTCTGGGCGGTGCAGCCCTACAAAAGGTCGAAGCCCAAAGGGACCTCGGTGAGCTGACGACGAGTTCCCTAAAACCATCCGCCCACTGTTCGAGGGTGGCAAAAACCGCAATGTCCGTACTGTACGCCATCAAGCGTGCGTTTATGGACTTTGACGAAGAAGCTTTCTCTAAGACATTCGGAACATTCGTCCGGCCGCATTTAGAGTACGGCATACAAGCTTGGAGGCCGTGGGCTGTTGTGGATCAGAACTGCCTCGAAAGAGTCCAGAGGAGAGCAACGAAGATGGTTAGGGGTCAAAGCTCCTTTTCTTATGCAACCCGCCTAGTAAATCTGAACCTCTTTCCTTTGAGTTACAGGCAACTTCGCGGAGATCTCTTGCAAGCCTTCCGCATTGTAAAGGGGTTGGATTGCAGTCTGGCCTTCGAAGACTTTTTTGAATTTGCTACCACGACCAACCTCCGAGGTCACCCGTTAAAACTGCGCACTCAGCAGGCACGGCTGGATGTGCGGAAGTTCTCCTTCGCGGTTCGGGTGGTCAAACCATGGAATGAGCTTCCCGCAGATGTTGTGATGTCACCATCTATACAAATTTTTAAGAAGAATCTGGACATATTTATGTTCCGAAATGACCAAGAGCGATGAGAAGTCGAGCTTACCCCTGTAACTCCTCCTCATTTTGTCCCACCATTATGGGCGTGTTCGAACTATTTCAGCCCAGAACATCTATCTGTACACCACACATTTTTTGCGTTGCAAATAGGGTACTCAAAGGCTTACGCCTATTTCCCTCAATAAACTGAACTGAACTGAACTGAACTGAACATTTAACGCCTATGTGAGGAACTGTAAGTGACGCGAGCCCACTCGCGTAGAGGAGCGGTGTTAATTCTTTTTGGGTGATACGTTATGACACTGTGGATGCCCTTAATTACGTACGTTTTGTTAAAACAGTAAATTGGTCGAAATGTCGCATCTTTTATGTAATTTTGTGATCCATTACTGAATATTCTAAGCACAAACGCTGCTGATGATTACTGGCGGTAACTTCGGGGTTTGTAGAGCCACCAGTTGAAGTCGATTGTCTTGTGACAATAAGAAAATTTCGTTCCCGATTTCTGAAAGTCAGTGTGGCAATAAATAACGAACGTTTAAAAGAACCCAAAGCCGTGAAATTTATAATATATCTCCTTAAGCACACAGTGTTTGCTGAATGAATAGGTTAACGTGCCAAATACGCGAGATAATGTTGACTGCTAGAACTTCCTGCCGGGGGCGACTGGCTGCAGAAGTTGCTTAAAGCCTAATTACTTCTGCGTGTACAGCCGCAGTAATATGGTGAACAGGAACGATATTATGTGTCTCACAGATGACTTTGAAAACGTATTATCTCACCTATCCCAAAAATTAAAGCTTCTGTTCAGTTCATTTAATCCGCGTTAACGCTGGAACAGCTTGAGGTGGGATTCTGCAGGAGGGCGTTCTGCATTACATGCTCTTTTTTGTATATGTATGTGAACGTCAGCCATGATTGCCCTACGAGAAAGTAACGTCCGCTGATGACCTGAAGGCATAACTTTCTATATCAAAGCCAGAGGATGGGCAGAACTTGAGAAGTAATTTGGATAGATTGCGACAGTGGTGTGAGCAGTTGCAAATATCAAATCATCCGACTGCGATCCAGTAACAGAAAGACGAGATTGGAAAATCAGCACTTTATCGGAGATCCCCAAATCGGACCAGTAAACGAGTCAATGGGCCTAGGCGTGTGAATGGCATATCTTCCTAAACCTTCGTCTTTCTACGTCAAGATTGTATTCAAACCTCTGTGTATCCGGGGAGTAATAAGAAGATCCTCCCTTGAACTTAGCGAAAAGATTTTTGGTCAGATGTTTGGAACATTTATTCGGTAGGTGTTAGTATATTGCTTTCAGGCTTGGCGACCTAGAATAAAACAGGGCTATGGTCTTTTGAAAATGGTCTGACGGACGGTGACCAAACTAGTTAGTGGTATGAAGTGTCTACACTATAGGGAACAACTAGGAAGGCAAAACAACTCCCTCTTATAGACAATAGAGAAGGAGTGAGCTTATTGTCTTCAAAATCGACAGGGACATAAAGACTCTAAGCCTTTGTTTTTTGAATAAGGCTCTTTAAATTCAGGCCAATTATAGTAACATTAGCGAACGTAATTTTCCTTTTCAGTGCCTGTCGACTATCAGTCGAATCCTGCAATTCGCACTTTGTGCCGTTGAACCGTCTCCAACGGTGTACATTCCCAATTCCATGAGAAGGGATGGGACTGAAAATATCCGGCGCAGTATTACCCATCCCTCTCTGGAATGACGCTATTTCATAGGCAGCAGTTTTTTCTCCTAAACCATCGAAACTACAAAAACAGCCTCCTCTGCATCTATTCATAAGGATTTTTTGCTGTTTTCCCGAACCGTGCTTTATCTTTCTTTGACAGTGCATGTAAATTGGTATTAAATACAATCATTATTATTATTACTATTATTCACAATCCAACCTCTAGCTAGAATTCGACCATTAGGTCTGCCAGAAAGTTTAATTAAGTGCAACTATCCTTGAAATTTAAAAATGATTGGATTAATTTTGCAGGAGAAAAAAAGCCTTTACAACCGAGTTTGTCCATTAACCCTTTAGGCTCAATTATACCCCTAAATTATTTCTTTGCCCCGCGTGCCGGCTGCTTACCAATGCGTTTCTATCTGTCCTGCAAATAGTCCTCATATGAAAAAGTCGAGAGCCTGATCCTTGGTCAGAATTCATTGGGTCCATCCGATGGAGGTATGTAATAAGAAATTCATTTGTATTTGCATCGGAAGGGATAGAGACAGAGCCCTTGGCCAACCTATTCATGTGCAATGATTTCGCATATTCGCACTCAAAATAAAGTTGCAAACATTAAGCATCTGTTCACATCACAACAGAACCGAAATAATAAGGAAGCTCAGCTATTCACTGTGAGTCAGTATGGAAAGGTTGTGCATGACAAAATAATTTACAAATCAAGCTGTGAGTAGTCATGTTGTAAAGGGGAGCAAGATTTTTTAAACATGCGAATTTCGTCAGCCGTCACCATCTCCCATAGTGGCGAGTTCCATGGTTGGCAACTGATTGGCTGAGGAAGAACTTTCTACAGTCAAGCCGCTTGCGCTCGCTCTTAACTTTGTAAGGGTGAACGCGTAATTGGTTTGTACTGGCAAACCCAAATAAGTACTCCGATCCCAGTTAACAACCTTGACCACGGACAGTCCGGAATGTCCAGAGTAGACTGCAGTTTAGTTTCCTATAAGACAGAGAGAATAAGCCAAGCACATTCAGCCTCTCCTGGTAAAACGAATGCTATAGACCGTCGACCATATTTGTTGCTATGCGCTGCACTTATTCGATCAACTAAATATCCTTCTTCATCCATGGTGAAGTAGCTGGCATTGTATATTCCAGGTGGAGTATTAAAAAGATGCCAAAATATTTTTCTAAGTGTTCGAGAGGGAATATTTTACATTTACGCCAGATACAGTACAAAGTACTATTTGCTTTCTCGATCATTCTTCTACAGTGTTCTAATGGCATAAGATTTGTGGTCATCCATACACCCAGATCTCAGTCTTTCTACTTCTTCTGATGCCGTCATGCTAATAAAGTACTGACGTGTATGAGAGGCACTTCGGTCGGTGTTTAAGTGTTGCACCACGTATTTGGGCACATTAAATTTTAAAAGACTTCTGTTTGATAAAACACCGTTTGTCGGGACTCCACTGCGACTTCTTTGCATCATCATCGCGGTTGACTCCACTCTATATTTTATGTCATCAGCGAACACGAGGGCCTCGCAATCCAGTTCGATGACTTAGTCGTTTAGATTAAACAGGGAGATGAATGGGCCAAAAACAGAACCTCGTAGGACACAAATTTTCACCTTAACCGATTCCGAGTTAGAGTTACCAATGACGAAACTTTGCATTCTGGAGGACAGAGAACTCATGATCCATTTAAACCTTCATATTTGGATCAATACATTTTAGATCTTCTGTGAAAGAAGCACGTGTGGGACACTGTCAAAGGCCTTTTTGAAGTCAAGAATATGACATCCATTGAGTAGCACTTATTTGTGGCTCTTGTCCATTTCTCTTGCGAGTACAGAACGCTTTTTAGGCAGGAGCGCCCGGGACGAAATTCGCGTTGAAAATCACACAGTATTTTATCTTTTTCAGGTATTGAAAGAAACGTCTTTTGATAATGCGTTTCATTATTTTACAGGCGGAATCTTCTGTATTTGTCAAACATTAGTAGTCTGGTCGCATCACTTTTCCCACAGCTAGCTGAAGAGGTCCAGTTTAGTGAAAACCATTCGTTAAATGTCTCGAAACATTTCTCTAGAAAAATACGAACTCACAGAAAGACGCAGCATCCCACTCTGCGAGACGCTCTCGGAAATCTCATAGTTGATGCCCAGTTAACTGCTGATAGCTTCAATGATTTCCTGTCCAAAACGTTCATTGAAGGCTCGAACACTCCGCTTCCGACCATCCAGTCATTAACCGGGGCAGTTCTAGAAACTATAAGTTTCACTCTGTGGGATGTGACTGTTGCGATTCGGCGTCTTAGTCAATCTTATAGTCCAGGCTCTGATGGTGTCCCAGTACGCATTTTAAAAGCCGATGCAAATACGATTTTCCCATCCCTCTTATGCAAGATATTTAATCTTGCTCTTGAAAGTGAAACCTATCCTACCCTGTGAAAGGAATAACACCTTTTGCCCATTCCTAAGCATGGCAAATCTACGTTATTTGACGACTTTCGGCCAATAAACACCCTCCCCGCAGTTTCGAAAATCTTAGAGACATTGATCAAAGACAAGATGATAAGTCACTTGACGGAGAATAACCTACTAAGTGCTGCTCAGCATGGATTCCTCAAAGCTCGGTCTTGTAAACCTGTCAACTCTCTTTCGCCCAACAGCGCGCCTTTCGAATTCGGTTTGAAATTTCGACCTCCGAGGGATTTGCTTTTTCCGGGATTTCTGCCTACTGGACGCTCTGCGGGCCCATTTGGATTAAGAAATTGAAGCGTAATCAGCAATTCCTCGAACGATCCACTCAGAACTCCGACAGAACTTTCTTTGGGACGACCATACTCCTTCGTATCAATTCTCTGCCAACAGCACCGCGGGGTTCTCCAGATCCAGAAGCGGCTGAGTCGTTTGATATTTACTTCATATTTTTGGCTTGGTTAAAAAGCTTCTCCTACACCTTTAAATACTTCGCCCATACCTAGAATCCCTTGCGTATCGTTTGAATTAATAATGGGAGTCGACAAAACACCATCAGGACAATGTGCGAAAAACTCGCCGCAAGTGAAACTCGAACCCAGGTCCAGTCGTAGTGTGACCAGCGACATGACCGCTAGACTATCGGCGCACGCCCAGCTGACTGAAATAAATAAGGGAGTAAACATTATTCGTAGTACAAACGACACTATGTATGAAGGAAAGTCAATTGAGAAGGCCTTGCCACCTAGGATTAGCGCTCGCTCTCTTTATAGTTGCAACCAGGGGCCCGCAAAGCGCGCTAAAAGCGTTATCACAGCAAAACCTGTTAGTTACGAGGACGAGCCATGCACTGGATGCTCATTTATTCTGCTGAAAGTCCAAAAACTCGAAAAAGAGTTGACTGCTTTAAGGGAACTCGTGCAAGCGAACGATAGTGTGCAAAACGCGGTGAATAGCGCTAAAGTTAGCAAGAAAAAGGGAAAGAGCAAAACTCTGAAACAGCCAAAGAACAAAGCATGTGGAAAACCTCTGTGCAAGAGCGCCGATACCCAGGACGATGGGAAAATAGCAACGGAGTCTCTTGTTTCTATGGGAGACAACCCAAGCGAGCCATCAACTTCTCTCAGCCATTCCGCGTGTTCAACAGGACCCTCAGTTGGAAGTGAGGAAACAAGCTCATGGCAAGATGGAAAGGGTAAGCGCCACAACTGGAGTATAGAACCCCAGACGACTCCGGTGGATCTTCTGAGACCTTCAGCTGACAAGGCCACCGGAAACAGAAAAAATGAACCCCTTGATCGTCAGCACTGCGTAGTCGTCCAGGGTCTATCGGAGTCGGATGCTTCTACCCCGAAGGAGAGGATCTCCGCTGACCTTAATATGCTTCAACGCCTACTGAACGAAATGCTTAATTCAAATGAAAAGATAACTATTCGCGCAGCCTTCAGGATCGGAAAGAAGGAGAGCGAACAATCAGAAACTGTGCGGCCACGACCTCTGAAAATTGTTTTGAACAGTAAAGAGGAAGCTAGCTTACTTCTGTCCAGGAAAAGCAGCCTCCGAAACTCGCACAAGGAAGTTTTTTTTCAGCCGGACTATTCTCCAGCGGAACGTCTGAAACGCCGCGAATTGGTAACGGAGTTGAAGAGGAGACTTGCAGCGGGAGAGAGCAACTTGGCCATTTTCAGGGGACGAGTAATACAGAGGAAGGCGATGTTGTTTTGGAAACAACCAGTCATCATGATGGCGGCAGCAACATAATATTGGCAAACCCGAGACAAACCGAACGAAGCACTGTCGAATGTTGCAAATTAAAATTCTTTTACACCAATGCTCAGAGTCTGTTTTCCAAGCTTGACGAACTGAGAATACAGGTAGACGATACTCTTCCCGATGTTATAGCAATAACAGAAACGTGGCTGTCAGAGGACGTTGGTGATTGCGAGGTAGCATTAACAGGATACCATTTGTTTAGGAGAGACAGGAGAGGCCGCCGGGGTGGAGGAGTTGCCATGTATGTCAAGAGCAACTTAGCAGTGTGTGAGAGGACCGACAAGATTTCTAACGACACAGAGGCAATTTGGCTGACTATAAAGGCGCGGGGATCTCAGTCCCTCGAAGTCTTAACTGTCTACCGGCCCCCGCAGGCGGATCCCGACCCAGATACTTGTCTACTGAAAAGCATCAAAGAGATCGCCAGCCGACCAGACGTTGTTATCATGGGGGATTTTAATGCACCATGAATTCAATGGAGCGATATGCATGCGAAATGCTCGATGAATACCTTCGATTACCATCTACTAAAGACAACTCTTAAAGCTCTACTCACGCAACATGTCCTGTTTCCAACTAGAGCTCGTGGAGGGCAACAGGCCAGTTGTCTGGACCTCGTTTTTACCAAAGATCTTGACAGTATAGACGAGGTGTACTACCTACCCCCGCTCGGTCGAAGTGATCATGCAGTGCTTTTATGCGAGTACTTGCTGTATTCTGAACCGTGTACAAACGACAATACGAGGCCAAATATATGGAAGGGGACTTTCGCCAAATGAGAGCTGAGGCATCACAAATAGACTGGGATGTTCTCCTCTCCGGAAACGTTAACGAGGACTGGAATTTATTCAAGGATCGTTTACTGCATCTAATGAAGAACCACTGTCCCTTATCAAAGCCTAGGACATCCAACCGCCCTCAGTGGCTTACACGAGAACTCAAAAGGGAGATCAACAAGAAAGGTAGATTATGGAAAAAATTTCGCGAGAACAACAATAATGCAGCGTTTACAGAATACAAAATTCAAAGAAATAAGGTGAAAAGCCTGATTTTCAGGAGGCGACGGGATTTTGAGAGTAATTTGCTCCACCGAGCCGTTAAAAATCCGAAATTGCTCTACAGCTATTTGCGGAAAAGCACACGTAGCAGGAATCCCATTCCTGTTTTGAGGGGTGATGACGGCTTGGAGATATCGGACAGTACAAATAAGGCCGAGCACTTTTCTCAATTTTTCCGATCCGTTTTCACCAGAGAAGCGGACTTTACCCCATCTAATTCTGAGAACATGAGAGATCACACTATCGAAAATATTGTGTTTCGAGAAGAAGCGATTTTGGAAGAACTGAAAAGCTTGAAGGAATGTAAATCTCCCGGTCCGGACGAGATTCCAGCAAAGCTGCTCTTTGAGCTTGCCCAACAGCTGGCCAAGCCACTATCCTTTCTGTGCCAAAAATCGTTTGATGCTGGAATTCTTCCCACAGATTGGAAGACGGCCCACATTACACCCCTTTACAAAAGCGGTAGTCGTGCTCAGGCGACAAACTACAGACCCGTCAGTCTGACATCAATCTGCTGCAAAGTGATGGAGAAAACAATCAAAAAGGAGTTGATGGCTTACTTGGAAACCCACAACCTCTTGTCCAATACACAATATGGTTTCCGTGTGGGAAGATCATGTGTTACGAACTTGCTATACACAATGCAAAGTTGGACACGAGCACTGGACGCAAAACACACCGTGCATGTTGCCTATATTGATTTTCGGAAGGCGTTTGACAGTGTTCCGCACCAGCGTCTCCTACACAAGTTGAGAATTATGGGCATCGGTGGCAAACTTCTCAAATGGATCGAAAATTTCCTTGTCGGCCGCTCCCAAATTGTCTGCGTAGAACAACAGCAATCAAGGTGCACATTCATAGAGAGTGGGGTCCCACAAGGCTCGGTGCTCGGACCAACTCTCTTTCTCTTGTTCATCAATGATTGCGTAGATGGGTTGGACTGTGATTGTGCCATGTTTGCGGATGACATAAAAATCTGGAAAGT